GTAGCTCAGTGGTTAAGCACCCCTGGGCTAAATCCCCAGTACCAAAATAAAAAAAGGTAAAAGTGCAATGCCTTTATCCAGTGGATAATATTTAACTAACAAATTAGATAACATTTAACCAGAATTAATCAGGGGACAAAAACCTGGTATTATCAGTAAGAAGGCTCCTAAATAACCATGTGGATTCAGAGAAATTGGTTAGATTGAGTCACTGTGAAGCTTATTTCCTTGAAGCTTATTTCCTTGATCAGAGCAAATTAAGTGGCCAATACAGGGTATCCTGTTACATCTTTAAAATGTGTTAAATGATATTCTACACAAGTATTGACAAGATGTCACAAAATGTTGCAAGAAAAAAGAAYGTCTATAAATATTTATCATTAACCCATTTTTGTTAATAACATGGGTATGAACCTTCAAACTCTTTATTTTRGGGAGATGGAATTAAGTGATTTTAATTTTTTTCTTATTGTTTATCTGTGTTTTCTCATTTTCTATTTTTATATCAACGTTATTTTTTTTGAAATTCCAAAATACAACTACCAAAGTACAGATGTGCACTGAAAAGGAAGGTTAAAACTTTGTTTAGAATTCTTGAATTCTAGAAATAACTAGGGGACTCAGACAAGGTTCCCTCACACAGCTGACACCTGAGGCTCCTTCTCTCTGTGTGTACACGATACGACCAAACTGATGGTATAAGTCTAAGGATATCCGAGGTAACATAATCTGGGCAATAAAGAATAAACATAAGCAGTACTGTTCAAGAAAAAGACTTGGCAGCATATTTTTACAGTGCTTTATCTTTCACTCTGTGTGTTTACTTCCTTGAAACTGAGTACACTAAAAGATTACCTTGTCTTACCCCCAAGTTAAATAAACAATTTCAAAAGCTATCTTGCTGTACCAAACATCCTTTGAAAGCACAGAAAGGAAATGCCATGACAGTTTAATTACTTAAGACCTATTACCAAGACTTTAACACCAATTCTATGGGTTTGATCCTGCTGTAGTTTGAATCATGAATGTTCTTCAAAAGCCCATGTGTTAAATGTTTGGTCCCCAGGGGAGCTTTACTGGAGGTAGTAAACGTATAGGAGATAGGGCCTAGTGGGAGATACTTAGGTCACTGGGGAGTATGTCCCCAAAAGAGATTGCGGGACCCTGTTTTCTTCCTATTCCTTCTCTTCACTACCTGAGCATGAAGTGAGTGATTTTTGTTTTGTTTTGTTTGGGGTTGGGGAGCGTACTGGGACTGAACACAGGGACACTGGACCACTGAGCCACATCCCCAGCCCAAGAAAAATTCTTAAAAGCTTTCAGGAAGTGGGGAAAGGCAACTACAAGCAAAACTACTAATTAGCACTGGATGCTACAAGACAATGAAACAGAAAATTCTTTCCGGTACTTTCCAGGTACTGAGGTAAAATGTTAAAGTAGCATTCTATACCCAGCTCAACTATCAATCAAGCATGAACCAAGTTACTTTCAGACAAAAAGGACTCAGAAAGTTTTATTTCCTGCCATTCTTTCTGAATTAAGTTACTTCAGGATGTTGCCCAACAAAAAATAAAGAAATCAAGTAAAAGGAAAATATGTGACCTAGGATGACACTGACTTTAAATCATGTAAATTCCAGGATGTCAATGCATAAGATACCTCAGAACAGAATATGCAAGTAAAAAAAAGTAGATTCATATATTATGATTAGATTTCTTCAAAAAGTCTGCATGTATGCTGAAGCAAAAAAATTTTTTACAAGAAATGACATGGTTCAAATAGCTATCTAAAATGTGGCATACTGTGAGTAATTTGTTTTATAAAAGAGAATATTATGCCTGATCCTGACACCAGAAAAATACACACAGTAGCACACCTAAGAAAGAGTTCTAGAACACTGCTTGGTAATTCAGAGATGATGATGATGATGATGATGATATGATGATGGTGATCTTAAGATGATACTGTTTTAGTCAGGGTATTAAACCCAGGGGCAGTTTACCACTGAACTTCATCCCCAGTCCTTAATATTTTTTGAAATAGGGTCTCACTAAATTGCTGAGGCTTGAACTTGGGATCCTCTTGCCTCAGCCTCCTGAGTTGCTGGGATTACAGGCCAATGCCACCACACCCAGCCCCCTCAGAGAGTATTTTCAATTGTCAACCTTTCACAGATCTTCCTTCACCTCACTAATCCTTCAACCCGCTTTTTTTCATTTCCCTAGCATGTTATTACTCTAGCATTATATACATTATATCGTTGTGTAGTCAACTTTTCCTCGATATGAACAAAATACCAGACAAAAACAATTCAAAGGTGGAAGTTTATTTTGGGCTCATGATTTCAGAGTTCCAAAGTCCACCAACTCCACTGCTCTGGGCCACAGATGAGGCAGAGCATTATGGCAGAAGTGCATGGTGAAGCTGCTAACCTTATGATGGCCAGGAAATAGAGTGGGAAGAGTCAGGGACAAAACAAATAATCCCCAAGGAATGCCCCAGTTGCTGACTTCCTCTAGCCACAACCCATCCATCTAAAGTTACCACCCAATAATCCATTCATGTTATTAATCCATCAAATGGATAAATCCATTCATTAGATAACAACTATCATAATCTAATTATCTCATCTCTTGCAATAAGACAGCTTTTGAGGCACACACCATATCACATTGATTCTAATACACACATTCTTCTCACTTCTTAATCCTGTTGAAATCAGCATGTATTTTCTAATCCCTAACATTTACAACTGTTGTCAGCCAGGTGGCAGCCTTGTCACTGTAAAAAATCTTCAATGGATATTTTATAGAAAGATTATAAAAGAACCAGCATCAAAATGCCTCAGATCAGACAAGACAATTTTGCTTACTGGATATCACTCCCACTGCATTCGACCATGTAGGATATTTGCTAATTTTTAAAAATCTCTATCCTCCACATACAAAAMAGTGCCTAGTACATGAGATATCTGATCTGTGTCGCAATCTAACATCTCTGAAATTGGGATAGATGCAACAAAATGGATTCGACACAGTTGGCCCTGATTTTTTTTTCATTTTTAGTGGCACACATTAATAATGGCAAGTCTTAAAATCAATGACATGTAAGATTTGAATAAATTCAGTATCAAAAAAAATTGGAGGAAGATGAAGAGCGAATTTGATCCTTCATTTCAAAAATTGATTCCAAGAGTTAGTTTTATTTATGTTTTGTTTTTGATTTACTAAGAATTACTTTATTCTTTGAGTTAGGAACTAAATACCCAAAGATATAAAAATAAAAATATAAACTGCCTCCTCAAAAGGGGCAGTAAAAGCCAGCAGRCCCAGCTACTCAGAAGGCTGAGGCATGAGTATCAGAGCCCAGGAGTTCAAGAGCCCAACCTTGGCAACACAATGACACCCTAAACAGGGGAGTAAGGTTTCACTATGGTCAGTCTGCAGAATTTTATTTTTATCACAAACACAAAACTTTTTTTATTTACTGTTTTAAAACACTTAATGAGAGACATAAAAATATGTAGAAACTGAGACAGGAAAATTCAGAGAAACAAAGAAATTCAAAGATAAACAGTCAAAAAGAAATTTCTCAACTGACAGTGAGGATGCAGAGACCATTAACTAGACTCAAATTTAGCAAATCTTTAAAGTGTGACATCAGCACTTGTTGCCTACTGATGACATTTTTTTGCTTATCAGAAAAATCAAGGAAAGCTAGGGACTGTGGAGCACGCCTGTAATCCAAGTGACTCCGGAGACTGAGGCAGGATGATAGCAAGTTGGGAGACCAACTTGCAAGTTCTCCTGGAGAACTTAACAAGACCCTACCTCAAAATAAAAAATAAAAAGGATCAGAGTGTGGTTCAGTAGCAAAGCGCCCCCGGGTTCAATTCCCAGTTTGGAGGAAGGGGGGAATTTAAAGTCAGCAAAGGTGTGGTGAGTGTATCTGTGAAAACTCAGACCACCTTAGACGAAATAATTACAAGCTCTCCCTCACTGAAACAACGTTTTTACACAGCACCCCTTCACCTGCCCTGGCCTACTGACAGGCACAGTGACAGTGGAGTACGGTAGGGAATCCTAGCATAGTCTCTAAGGGAAAAACCAACTACATCGTGAGGAGTCAAAATCTRGGGGGAAAGAACTGCTGCCTGGCCAGTGAGCGATCCGCCACTCGCGAAAGGTGGCCCGAGTGGCCGTGGAATACAAAAGCCCAGCTTAAAGAGTTCACAAGCACCCAAGAGCCCAAAACTCTCCCCGCTGAAAGGCAGGACATCTTTCCCCTGAGAAAGCTAACAGGGGTAGCAAAACCAACTAGCCCAAGACTAGCAGTAGGCGGGCCAATCAGACCCCGCCCTGAATGTCCAAGGAAGGCACTGAGCGCTAGCAAAAATGTCACTGGGCCAAGACTGAGCGCGCCAAAGCAGGACCCACCCCCGGGAAACGCGGACGCTCCGGGCGGGTCCGGGTCCCTCCCCTTCCTCCTCCCGCGCACAGCTCATTCATTCTCGTAGCGGGCAGCAAGGGCTCSGTGGCCGGCTATCCCAGCCTTGCAAACCCACCAGACGCTTTGTCTGGCGCTGGCCGGAAACCGAGGCGCGCACTCGAGCGCGCGCCCGTGCGCCAGCTCCCCCCACTGGGACTATGGGGGCCACCGTGCAGCATGAAGAGCAGTCTGGATCCCTGGGCCGCCTTAGGTTCGAGGTTCGAAGCCGCGAGCTACTCATCGGCAGCCCCAGGCACTGACTTCGCCCGACCATGCTGSGTACCCACGTCCTGGAAGCAAGCATCACTGCTCCACCATCACTATAACTCGAGCTTCCTCCACGACCCTGTCCCTCCATAAAACACAAGAATAGTTCTTTCCGGAGGCAGAGACCAGTCCCTTCCCAAGGGCATGGGCACCTGGCCTCGGCTATSCCTACCCGGGGTGGACCCCGTAGGCGCAACCGCCCCTCCCAGCGCAACAAACGCAGCCCCCATCGAGCAAACACTCACTTGAGCAGCAGCTGGTCGTGCTCGGCCTTGAACTTGCCCAGCTCAATCTGCAGCTTGGCGCGCTCTCGGGCCGTGTCGTCTAGCGCGCGTCGCGCGTCAGCCAGCTCGGTTTCGTATAGCGCCTTGAGTCCGGTGAGCTCGCGGCCGCGCACCTCCTCGCGCTCCGTCACCTGCAGCTGCAGCGCGCTGTTTTCTGTTTCCAGACTGCGCACCTTGTCGATGTACACGGCCAGTCGGTCATTGAGCTCGCGGAGCTCCTCCTTCTCCTGCAGCCGCGACAGCCGCGTGGGACTCAGCGGCGTGCTGGGGGCGCCGGCGCGGCTGCCACTCCGCGGCGGCACGGGGGTCGCGGTCGCCATGGCGAGCGGAGAGWACAGCGATGAGGCAGCAGGCAGCACCGGCACAAGAAGAGGCTGCAGGGGCTAAGCCGGGACCGAAAGCCCAAATTGGCGAATCGGCGTGGGGAGGGAGAAGCACCTGGGATGGCGGCAGCGGGTTACAGCACAAAGGGCAAAGGGGAAGCGCTACGAATCAATCGATCGTAAAATGTCCTTTGTAAGAAAACACGCACACACGCACACGCGGGAAGGAGGGAGGGGAGGCTGACCGGGAGACYGAGCAGGTCCGCGCAGCCGCCGCTGAGTCTCCCGCCCGCAGCACTTTGTTTCTTCTCTGGCTGCGCGGAGAGGCGGGCGGGGGGAAGGAGGCCAGCGAGGGGCGGGCGGCCGGCAAGCCGCGGAGGGGGGCGGAGGTGGCGCGGGCCGGGACGCCGTACTCCCCAACATGGCGGCTCGCGCACGTGACCGCTGCCGGCCAATGGGRAACGGGAAGCGCGCTCCTGGGGCTCGGGGGCCGGGCCTGTGAATTCAAAATCGGGCCCTGGGGCAACCGTCGACCTGAAGCGCGAAGTTGGGCGTGGCCGGGACTGGGCCGAGAGAGGAGGGGAGGGGCGCCCGGGACTGTCCGCCCCTGGGCTCAGGGCCTACCGCGCGCCGGGCCTCTCCCCACCCCCTGTGGACCCCTGGAGGGGCCGGGCTTGCGAATGGCGGGAAAGAGCCGGAGATTTCCGGGGCGGGTTCGTGCCGCCGCCCACGCCCCGCGGTTCAGGGAAATTCAAACATAAACGTCCGTAGCTACCACGGACGTGGCCTAGTGGACCGCGGGCGTTGTAATCTTACCCGCGCCCCACGGGAGGGAAATGGCCGGAGGCCCCGCTGCCTTAGAGTTATGTAAGGGGCACTTTCTTCCGAGGTTCTCTGCCGCTTGCGGGCCAAGTGCAAGCCTTTATTTTTCTATRAGATGGAAAACTATCGAAATACGTCCTCCCATGAAACTTGAGATGTGTGTTTCACAGCGACTGATTATTTATCACAGAAAAAACAGCAACCCTGATTTTAAATCATTTGTTACTAATGCTGGTGGGCCGTCCCYGATCTACTTGTAACAAGGTTTGTAGAGAAAAAAAAAACAGCTCACAGATGATTACCTGCATGACTTTAGTAAACACGCACAAGTTGTTTTAGTGATYTATTGAAGGAGAATACCTAAAAAGCCTGAACTTGGGAAAATCTAAATGACTTTTTGCTTTAAAGGGCATGTGATATATTCTGAGCAGCTAGTTCTAGTAGAAAGTCTATTGACCTTTTTGAAATATTTTAACTTAGGTTAGCGTATATTGGAACTATGCACCCTGGCTTTTCGTGGAACATTCATCCTCACAACCCTCCCTATGGTATGAGACCTGGATTGTTTTTATTTGAAAAATCCATACATTTAAATATTATTAAATATTCAGCAGGCAACAGGACTTCATTTGAATTCAGTGTTTTAATTAACTCCAAAGTCTAGCTGTAACTTAGATGACCACATCACATCTATAGAGTAAGTACAACAAGTTACCTTAATAATGGCAGAACTGCACACCAGGGTGTTGTCCTGTATATAGTATTAGTGAAGGGTATCAGACTGCATATTCCATCCTTGGTAAATTTCTCAACTCTGAATGATACTCTTTTTATTAATAGTTTTATCCCTGTTACCTAAACTATCTCATTCCTTTACCTCCTTGAAAGGTAGAGTTGGAAAGCTTCGATTTTAAAGTTGATGTTAGACTTTTTTTTTTTTCCTCCAGTACTGGAGCTTTGCATATAGCTTGGCCAGCACTGTTCCATTTACTTACATCCCCAGCTTTTTTTTTCTTTCTTTCTTTTTTTTTTTTTTTTGCCTTTAGATAAGTTTCATTAAATTGCCCAGGCTGACCTTGAACTTGAAATTGGCCTTACCTTTGCCCTTCCTAGTAGCTAGGATTACTTGTGGGTGCCACTGTGCCCAATTGGTGTTAGGCATATGTAAGTATTTCA